GACCACTTCTCAGCAGAAGCACAGCAGAGCAGGTATGTGTCCTGGGCAGAAGCACATAGGGCCTCCTATACATGTGCGCAGAGCCTGCTGAGACATGCTGGAAATTCACATTGGAGCAGATTCGATTAATCAGGTGTGCTGGAGCACAGAAACTGAAGTGCTCCCGCAGCCTTCTGTGTCACGTGTATCAGTGGCCTACCATGTCTCTGCTTTAAAAATGGCAGTGGCGCATTTTGAAATAAAACACATTCAGTGAAGCTGACAGAGCACCCTTTTGGGTGCCTGTCACTGTTGCTGGAATTGTGCAATACCGCCCATTTCCTCTTGTACTCACCTGCCACAAATTTGATCTTATGTGGGGAGGAAGGAGATTGGCATAGTGTTACTGTCGGTATTCGTGGAATAACTTCCCCACACACGTCAAGTCACTCCACTGATTTTTAATTCCCTTTTCTTTTACAGCAGCTTGAGTTGCAGGCAACAGCCTCATTAACCTTCTCGCAAAACTGGTCATGAGCTCCAGGGATGATCCCCGCCCCCGAGAACCTCAAGGTAAGTAGCCACTGGCACTCTGCGTCGCTAATTAACTCATTAGTGAGGCGCGGTTACTGTATCTTTGCCCTGTCGCTGGCATCTCTGCCAGGGCAGCCCCTTTCCTCAGGTATCCTTCCAAGTTTGCTGGGCTGGCCAGTACAGTCTGGGCTCAGCCTCCCTTGTTCTCAGGAATTCTCCCACCTTTTGTCTCTTTTCACCTTGCATTGCCGCTTCCTGCCGGTAATTGACCCGTAAGTGGCTGAGCTCATTATGCCCCGTTTCCTGCTCCACTGCTTGGAGTTGGGAGCATCTCCAGCTGTTGCTCACAGCCGGCACTGGTCTCTCCCAAGCTGAGACCCTCCTTTGGTCACAGGGTTTCCACCAGACCGCATCACGGAGTCTCGGCTCCTCTGGACTCACTGCTGAGGCTACGTCTTTGGGTAAGTATCCGTTCCCTGCCATTCTGCCTGTCTTCCAATCCCCGAAGGCATTCTCCCCAGGTCTTGCCTCTGCTTCTATTTCTGGGATCTTTAGTCCGTTGGCCAATCCTGAGCTAGGTGGAGAATTCTCCCCACCTGACTGGGTGTGGTCACTAACGGTGTCCAGGTGTTCATCTAAGTAACAGGTCTCCAGCCAGACACCCTGTTACAGTCACCTTAAGGGCTGGAGAAGGGAGCTGCCAGGTGACTGATGAGGGCAGCCACTTTAGGGCCCAGCTCTGAGAGAGTAGAGAGCAGTTTGAGACCAGCCAGCAGGGAAGAAACATCTCCCTGCTGAGCTCCGGCTCCAGGAACAACTTGGAGGTAAGGGAGAAGCTGTGGGGAACGAGGAGGCCTCATTGCTACTGGACATGACCTGAAACTGTACCCTGCTGGGATAGGTTACAGAGGTGGGTGGGTTAAATAGAGAGTTGTGGGGAAAGTGGGGAGGCAGGTAAACTTAGGAGAAGTGCCTGAGTCCCATGGGGTGTTGGACCCTGGAGGTGGGCTAAGCATGCTCAAAGAGGAGCATCTGAGCCCAAGGGGTGGAGGAACCTGGGCCCTAAGGAAAGGGCCGAGTGAAGGTCAGGCACACTTAAGGGAGAGAAGCACCTGAACCTGTCGGGGTGGAAGACACCAGGCCCCAGTGTAAGGGGTGGAGTTATGACCCGAGAGAGGGGAGTAGTAGTCTGGTGAGGGTCCAGCGGTGAAGTAGGCCCATAGTTGATCAATTGCTCAGTCCTGTTCAGGTGAGAGAGGCCCAAAGACTGTGCCAGGGCTGACCGAGGGGTAGAGAGCAAAGCCCGAGGATCTTTTGAGTCGGGCGGAGTGAATGTGGCCTGGATAGGCAGTATGCAAGAGACCGGGTAAGAGCTGGTAGGGGCCCCAGTGAGAGGGAGGTGGTGTGTGTGTCTGTGGCCCCGAAGGGGGCAGTATGATAACTGCCCAACGGTGTGCTCAGTTTGGCCTAGCCTTGAGCTGGAGTATCATCAGTGTGACTCCTGTGAGACAAGGAGGTACCTGGGCCCTAATTGCCTCTCCTCAATTACACTCTGTTTCCAGGTTAGTGACTAGAAGTAGGTCTACATGCCATGAGGCTGTCGTAACTCCTGTTAGTGAACTCTGTGAAAGCTATGGTTATTAGAGCCACAAAGATGTAGATCCCCTTGCTTCACCTCTCTAACCACCCTTTACCTTGTACAACATTGTGCAAGAAGTCTTCACATACAGTAGTTAAACACCATGCTGCACAGATGTGCTCAGTAGGTTCTGTCTGCTGCTCAGTACAACTGCAGCTCCTTAGGACCTCCACACCCAGAAGTGTGGTAGATGGACACAATTATATACTTGTACACATGCATAACTCCTAACAAAATCAATGGGGTTTGGATTTATCTGAGACCAGTTAGGCCAGTAACATTAATTATTGATCAAGATCTTTACATCTGTATTGATGTGGGAACTGGACACATTCAATTTTAAAGACTTCAATGTGGTTACAAGGACAAAGCCTAAAGCAGAAAATGACCTTAACTGTGTACAGAGAACTGAGGTGTTCTATTTTTTATAGACCTGTATTCTGATATACATCTGTAACTCCAAGTAAGACCATAAGAACTTTTGCTTGATCATGGAATGAAAATATTTGGTGCAGAGCATTTTTAATACTAAGAGCAAATGTGGAAGAAATGCTTGATTCCATTAGTCATCTCAGTGTATAGCTTGTATTGATAGATATTTATCAGAATTGATTTTTTATTTCCATTTTGCAACTTATGTGCAACTGCTGTAAATACTAAGTTGAATTAGGTGAGTATTTTGGGAGATTCATTTGAGTTTCAAGATATTCTGCCAGGTTTATTTAAGATTTAGTGGGTAGTATACATAATGGAGTGTATCGTAGGTATACTGTGTATATTGTATATTAGTCATTACCTATCACTTTTCAAATTGTCACAACACCCTTATCTGTCATATCAATAAATAACACACACAAGATTGCAAAGTCAGTTATGCAAAAGTTAAGTTTCAGAATTATGGTTATTTGAGAAACCTTAATTTTATTTGGTCTTTAGGGTGCCATCTTTAATTATATCATCACCTGCTATAGGCTCCATGGGAACTTCTACCTCAGAAACAAATTTCTGTAGCTTCAGAGTGGTCTCTCTTTTAGTTTTGAGTAAACTGGGATGTGGGTAGGCAACTTCTGTTCCATACTTTAAGGTACAGAATGGAAGAATGGATCTAAGAATAGGATCGATGCACAGGATCCTAGTCTTAGATCCTGTGATCCAATCTAGTGGAGTTGCAAAGATGTAGAACCCATTGCTTTACCTCTCTAGCCACCCTTTACTTTGTGCAACATTGTGCAGGAAGTCTCAACGTACAGTAGTTAAGCACCATGCTGTACAGATGTGCTCTGTGGGTTCTGTCTGCTGGTCAGTACAACTGTAGCTCCTTAGGACTTCCACACCCAGAAGAGCAGTAGGTGGACACACCACTGCACACACTATACAAATGCTTTCTAATGAGTGCCTATGAATAGCCACTGTGGACATTTGGAATGATTTTTTATTTATTGTACTAAATGATTAAGGTTACTTTAATGAGAACTAGCACAAACTTGACTTTGGAGTATATACTGGGCCCACATGATGTGTACATGATGTTTTCCTTTTCTTTGAATCCTGCTCAGATATTATTCTTGCTTTTGATTTCTACAGAAGTATTTTAGAAACAGCAGATGGACTCTCCATAAAGCACAACACACCAGCAGTCCACTCCAGTGAAACTACTTAAAATGTTATGTTCTCCTCCTGCATATGCAAGCCAATGGAACAAGTTTCTATACTGAGCAAGAAATCCACAAAAATTTACTTTGATCCACTGTTCAGGGAAAGGTAGACTGCTAGGTTTTGCATGTATCTTTTGTTCCCATTACTACTTTTTTTTGCATTAGAGCTGGAGCTTAAGAAATATGAAGTGTTTTTCTGTACCCAATTATATCAGTATTATTCTGGACCAGCTCCACTTCAGTCAGTGAAGTTCTTTTATACAAGATTTATATAAGACTTCTACGTAAACTCCACTGGATTCACAAAGTAAGCATGTTCCTGTCTATCTGACTATAGAGGTCTGATCCAGCAGGCATTGTTAGAGCAGGTCTGATGCAAGAAGACAGAAGCCCATTTCTATATCCAAAATCTAGTGCAGGGGTAGGCAACGTATTTTGGCTGGAGTGCCAAAACCCCCCACAATGCCTACCTTGGAAGGTGCCGGAGTGCCGGCATGCCAGAAAAACAAAATGAGGGCAGGGGGTACACGGCAGGATGCCCTACTTGTGCTCTTTGCCTTCTACCCAAAGCCCCTGCCCCCCAGCCCTGCTGCCCTGCTGCCCCTTGCCCCCCCCCCAGCCCCCCTTCCCCCCAGTCCAGGTTCTGTGGCTGTCAACAGCTACCCAGAACCTGGGCTGGGTGAGAATATCTGCTGCCTCTCTGCCCCGGCACCAGCCCTGACCCCAGCTGCCTCCCAGCCCCAGACCTCGCTCCAAGGCTCTGGGGAGGCAGCGCATACCGGCAGTGCTCCCTGCTGTGCTGCCCTCACCGCTTCTGCAAAGCAGCGCTGGAACCCGGCGCAGCAGGGCACAGCAGGGGGCGCAGAAAGTGGTGCCTCTCACTGCTGCCCCTGCCTGCAGGGGAATTGTGGCCAGGGCAGTGGGGAGCTGGCAACAGGCAGCTTTCTGTCCCCTCTGCTGTGCCCTGCTGCGCTGGGTTCCAGTGCTGCTTTGCAGAAGTGGTGAGGGCAGCATAGCAGGGAGCATTGCCGATACGTGCTGACTCCCTGGAGCCTGGGGCTGGGTCTGGGAAGCAGTTGGGGTCAGGATGGAGAGGCAGCAGATGTTTTCAGCTGGCCCAGGCTCTGGGTAGTTTGTGATAGCCACAGAGCCCGGGGTGCTTGCAGCAGGGCTTCCATGGGAGCAGCCTGGGCTCCGTGGCTATCAGCAGCTACCCAGAGCCGGGGCTGGCTGCATCTAGGAGGCTATAAACAGCTGCTGCCCTCCTGCCCCAGCCCTGGCCCCAGCCCCGGGCTCCGGGAAGGCAGCAGTGCTGGCACTGCATCCGTTGGGGCCAGGGCTGGGAGGCAGCAGCTGTTTGTAGCCTCCTGGCTGCAGCCAGCCCTGGCTCTGGGTAGCTGCTGATAGCCACAGAACCCGGGCTGCTCCCAGCAGGGCTTGCAGTGGCCCAGCTGCCTACTGGGAGCAGCAACCCCAGGGGCAGGTAATTATTTTGGGTGGAGGGTTGCTTACCCAGTTTTGGTAAGCTGTCTTGGGCTGCATGGGTAGCCCTGCACCTTGACCGGTGCCCCACCCCCTGGTCACTATCTTGGGACTAATGTCTCAGGGCCAGCACCAGTGGGGTCCAGAGCGGGGCGCAGGCTGGAGGGGTCTGTGGAGCTGGGTTAGGCTGCACCAGCAGGGAGAGGGGGAGCTGGCCCGGCTCCATAGAGCCCCTGCAGGCCAGGACCCCTGTACTTCTGCCACCCTGCTCTGAGCCCCGTCGGTGCTGGCCCTGGGACACCGGTTTGGGCCCCATGCACCTGCTCACTCCCAGTGCCCCCCCAGGCCCATGGTACAGGTGGGGGGGCAGCATGCAGCCCCGACCCCCTGCTCCCTAGCAGGGAACGAGCTGGTGCTGAGCACAGGGAAAAGCGGCCCCTCCCCACCCCATGGCTGGCACTCCGTGTTGCAGCCGCTCGCAGACCACGCGGGGCTGTCCTGAGCAGGCACAGGCAGGCGCACATGGCCGCGGGAGG